CTGATCATACAAAACATATTGAAGTACTAAGCTTAATTCACGATCATGAGATTCACACATATTGTTCAAATATAAACACAAATTATGATTGATTAAAATCAATAGTATCAACAGATTGTTTGGAATGGTGTGGCTATTCTTCATAATAAAAACAAATCCTGGCAATATTTTCAATAAGGATATTTCAAATCACATAACTGAATCAATTAAATGCGTGAACTTGGTCAAAATATCCTACATATTCCTCGATACATTTGTAGATATTTTCGCGAAATTCATGAAAGTGTATATTCCTTCTTCCGTGTCTACGTAAAGTTCACAATTCAAACACTATCTGGTTATGTTCAACACAATTTGAGTCTTTGTTTTTAAAACACACATAAAAAGTTTAATATAGATAACACATTTAATGTTGACCAGGAACGTAAAACTTCCATCGTGCACCAGCCAATCAACCAATCAAACAGCAACACAGAAAATACTGAAGCGTAGTCTTCAACAGGGATATCATGACGATCACCAAATGAAGCATGCCATAGATACGATCACAGCAAGAATTATTGAAGAAACGGAGGCAGAGAGTGCAGGGGAAATGTTACCGCTAGTACTGCGATCCACTGAAAAGAGCGAAAAAGAAAATTTTGGTGAGTGATGACAAAAAAATTACAGTGAAATTTCTCAATTAAATTTTGACAAAAATATCAAGGTTGTGAAATAAATGTAAATAATAAACACTGATGAAATTATATTTAAGATTTTCATTTTTACCCTTATGAAAATCTTAAATAGAATTTCCATCAGGTTTGCTGTTTTCTCACGTAAAATGAGTATTTATGAAAAGTACAGGAGATGTTGTTAGCAAGGCACCCACTTTCTCGTATTCTCTTTCGCTGATCAATAAATTCATTCTTATTTTTTTTTTTCGATCTTCATAAAACCAAATATTTTGTAAATGTCTACAAAAATCCAATATTTGTAAACATCTACAAAAATTCAATATTTGTAAAGTCTACAAAAATCCAATATTTGTAAATGTCTACAAAAAATTTTATGAAGAGAATATTTCCAGACATCAAAACAAATTTTTGTTGAGGTCACAAGGTCACATTTGCAACAAGGTTTCACGAGGAAGTGGGACACAATTAAGGATGATGTAGCATATGAATAATAATAATAATAAAAAAAAAAGCTGTTGAAAAATGAAACAAAATTTTCTAAAAACAAAAACAAAGCATGCGAAGACAAAAAAAACCAAAACAAAAAAAACCAACAAAATAAACAGGATAAGTGTTACGTCATACATGCAAGTGCATACATTTATACATATAACATGCCAATTTGATGTTCCTGTTCCTGGTCAAATTATTCATTCTGAAATAAATTTCTTTAAAATTATTTATCTCTCTAAAAAAGAAAACTGCTACAAAAAAGATTTCAATAAAAAAAATCAATTCAATAGAAGACTTCAGTTTCAACATTTCAAAAATATTGAGAAAATAAAACTTTGATCATCCCAACAAATATCAACTTAAGATCAGACCAACCAAAAAAGAAAACACTTCATTCAATCATTCATCGACTACCGAACTAGACAGATTGTCAAGCTTATAGAAACAAAACCAAACCATAGAAACCATTTTAATACTTTTATCTGATATATTTTCTGTTTTTAAAAACAGAAGTACATGTACAACAAAAACTATTCAGCTATTGATCACCTCCATGAGAAGTGGTATCAGGCATTCTAGAGAGAGAGAGAGAGAGAGAGAGAGAGCTTGCCTTATGAACCACATCAAGTATAAGAAAACTGCTGAAGCAAATCTATTTTAAAAACTTGTAAACCACTGTATGAATTTGGATACTGAATGTTGTATTTTGTGTTTTTTAATGGCCGGAGTAAATGGTGCGGACTCACTAACAATTAACCTGGGGCCTTTTACACGTATAACTCCAATGGTTAAGATGTCAGCATTGAATCATTTTGATTCTCCGCTCCCTGTCCAACCTCGTGGGTTTTCTACCGGTACTCCGGTTTCTTCCCACTGCTAAAGACCCCTCACCTTCCCCTCGTCATTGGTTGAGCTTTAAAAATCCTAGTACAAATTTTAGCTCATGATCAATGAAACGAATAAATTCTTGAACTTTTTCCGACGTTGTTTCCCCTCGTCAGTAGTCCATGACGGAGGGCCTGTCAAGGGACAACGAATAGTCGTTCCGATGGACGTAAAACCGAGGTCCTGAGTACATATTGGCATGAATGTAAGAGAACCTGTGACAGTTGGAATTCGAATAAAAAGGGGGACGTGTTCTGACCAAATTTACCTTAACATACACTGCATGACGTATACCCATCTTCATTAGCACGGATGGAGTAGAAATGTAGGATGTTAAACCCTATTTTCATTTCATTTATGGTAATCAATTACATTTAAAGGACAATATTGGTGCCAGTCATTGTCACATATGTGATGGAACTGGTTAAACACGTTCCAGATATTATTTTATCACAGAGATCATTGCTACGATAGATGCATAATCAATGCTTCAACAGTCGGAATGCTTCAACAGTCGGAAGTGACGAACGCAAAAGGAAAACAAGAGTTATCCCTCTATATAACTGACTGAAATGATGAGTGATAACATACACAAGAGTATATATGACAATTCAAAAAAGTAATTGAATGTCATTATAAAAGAGAACATGAATAAAATAGCAATTAAATAGACTGGCATACGATGAGAATAAAATAAATTCAACAACCAACTAAAGTGGAAGGTTGGCTGGAGATCAGTTATAGAGACCACATTGGTTTCGTCTGTTTAAAAATACAGTATCAGTATAGTTATAAATTACAGTTTGTATTGCTAGTTGAATTTATTGTGATAAGGTGCTAAATAAGTAAAAATTAACAAGGTTTATAATCGGGTGCTACATGTAAATTGTAACAAGTTTCATAATCAAGTGCTTAATAACGAACTTCTGATTGGCCCGAATTGTAACAAATTTCATAATCATGTGCTTAATAACAAACTTCTGATTGGCCCAAATTGTAACAAATTTCATAATCATGTGCTTAATAATAAAATTCTGATTGGCCCAAATTATAACAAGTCTTAAAATTGGGTGCTTAATAACAAAATTCTGATTGGCCCAAATGTTAATAAGTTTTATAATCATGTGCTTAGTAACAAAATTCTGAATTGTAACAAGTTTTATAATTGGGTGCTATTCTGTAAACATGTTTTAAAAGATTAATCTATTTTATGTTTATTTGGGTGCTGTTTAACTATTATACCTCTACTTTCCGTATCAACAACATATTTCCCTAAAAAAATGAAAACATTATTGGAATTACATGTTGATGGGTGTATGTACATGTATACTATACAATGTATTAATATATACTGTTACAAAATTTTATTTCCTGTGATTAAAATATGATTGTGAGTCGTTTAATGTAGAAGGATTAGTGGGTATGCAATATGAATGTATTACATGAATAAATGAATGAATGGAAATGAGTTTTATGGTACATCACATGTATTATATCATTTTAATATGTTGTCCAGCGGGTTTTGTTAAAATAACACAAAGGAGTGTGTCGAATTATATTATGTTTAAAAAAAAAAAATGCAAGGACACATGGTAGGGTGACCCACCATAAATAAATATCTCCAAATATCTCGACAATTACGCCACAATATTTATATATATGCCAAGCCTCAAATCAGTTTCACACAATTATAGTCACTAAATAAACGATCATGTTGTACTTAATAAGCTATGACCATTAATCATCTATAAATAATAGACTGAAAACTGGTTCCAAGTTGCGTCTATAACATCCAGACACTTTTGAGTAAAAGATAGGTTACCTGCCCTTGTTTTGAAATTAGTCTCGCTTAACCAGTCTATCGACCATTCTACGTTTGATTGACAGGTCGGGATAATCAAGACTACTTTTTTACGAAACATAACAGAAAGCTAGAACAAGAAATTGAATTTAGAAATAAGCACTTTAGACAACTCAACAATTGTTTTAAAAAACTTGTAAAAGTAAAATGAAACTACTGCTAGTATCATGTTCCTGCTAAAGAAAGTGATTCAGAGATAGTATTTGTACTAAACCAAAAGATGCCGCTCTTAACGGTACAGTTAATGATAAAGCAATTTAAAAAATAAAACAAACGTAATTACTAAAGCTGCTGTAATAACCAAGAAGCTAAATTTTACTGCTATTCAAAATCGTCAACAATAGTTTTTTTACGGCTTTAATAGTTGATATATTTGTAGAGAATTGCACGTGCCATGGCTATTTATCGACTCAAAGCGAGTGCGGGGTAGTCAGAAATCAGTTCGAGACACGCAACTGAAGCGTGCACATTTAGCCGTGTCGAGACCAACTTTCTGTAAAGTGCACGGGTCATCCTACACATGGGGAAGATCTGTGTCTACATGTGTTATATTATTTTCATGTATTATACTATTTTAATATATCGTCTACCTTTCTTGTTAAAATAATACGAAGGGTGTCTGGTGAAGATCAGTGTGTAAACATGTATTATACTATTTTAATATGTTGAAAAAATAATACAAATGAACCTGGTGAATATAATATTTGCTGATAATTAAATATTTAAATATAAAAGGGAGATAACTCTATTTTATTTTTGAGAAAGTAAACCTGCTACTATTAAGGTCATGTATATCATAATGTACAAGGCATTCGAAGAAAAATTTATCTTAATTCTGAAAAAAAATTTAATGCTGACGAAAAGATGATGCAAACACTTGACCTCAGAAAGTATAGGCGGTAATTTTATGATAAGCAGAATCGCTTTGAGCTAGCGAACAGCTGAAGACAAGCAATAATCATAAAAATATAACGAAATAAAAATGAAAATAAAGCTGCTCGCTTTACAAACTGTCGAATTGTAGACAGAAACAAAAAGTAAAGATTAATTTTTTTTGTTTAAACTTTTCAAACTAAACAGTATACCTTCAGCCGGTTTTGTATCGGTATTGGGTGGGGCTGGGACTTCTTCGCTCAGTGGTTCTCCTTAAAAACATGTTAAAAATTTAGATATATGATGCTCCACATCTATACCTTATTCATACAGGTACTAACAGCACACTTTACCTTATTATTACAGGCACTTTTAAAAGTTTCCATTCGTTAATTGTAAAGTTATGTTAGTAATGAAACTCGAGAAATAAATGAATCATTTTAATTAATAATCCCTTGATTATTATTAATGAAAAATGATAACACTAGTTAATGAAAAAGAAGATAAAAATTGAATATAAAATTTCTATTTCAAAGAAATTTGATAAAGTTTAACAGACCATTAAAAAAAATATGAGGACAGTTTGGTTCCTGTTTTTGTATAAGATTAACAGATTTCTTTTTAGCAAACATTTTAAAATAAGGAAAGCATTGAGTCATAATATTCTGTCAAAAAACATTCCATTAATTGGTAAAAATTTAAAAATAAAGCTTTAAAGTTTTTGTCATTCATTTATTGAATTTGAGAATAAGAGATTAAGCATAGTCTGTAAAATGAGGGTGTGAATTTGTAGTAAGAATTGTCATTTAAATTAGCTTTTTTTTCTTTTTTTTGCACTGAACAAGTCTGAACTGACTTTGAATGGAGTCAATTATATAAAGTCTGTCATTAAGTCGAGTGTTGTAGGTTTCAATCCATGCTATGTTTTTATTCTTTACTGACTCTGGGTAGTCAATTATAAGGTCTGTCATCGAGTCAAGTATTGTGGTTTCAATCCAAGGCTGGTGGTCCGTAACAGCGAGTATTGAAATTGCGAAACACCATACGACAAGCCTGAAATGACAGTACGTTTCCTGGGCTTTAAATCTTTTTTCTTGGAATAAAATCTGTATACCGTAATTTTTCACCGACGCATGTCAAACTTTTGACAAAGTGAGAAATTATGACAATGAACATCAGATTGTGGACATGCTCGTCCAGTGTCTTTATATTGCAGACAGTATCATCCAGTGTCTTTAGATTGTGGATAGTCTTGTCCATTGTCATAAGATTGCAGACATGCTCATCCTTTGTCCTTAGATAGGCAACATGCTTGTCATGTGTCTTTAAATTGCAAACAGTCCTGTCCAATGTTTTTGGTTTGTAGACAGCATCATCCAGTGATCTGAGATTGTAGATAGTCTCGTCCAGTGTCATTAGATTTCTAAGAACAGTGCTAGTTAACGAGTACATCACAATTAAATCTGTGTGCTGGAGTTAAATCTATGATCAATTTCAACCAAAACATCTTTAGAATGTTAGCTTAATAAATAAAAAAACGTGAAATTTCTTGTCAAAGTTACGATAAGGAGAGCCTACTATAAGTATTGAATTGTAAGAAAGAGTATTTTATTTGTAGTTACAGCAGCCATTGTAAACATGCCCAGGTGACAGTTTATTAAAGTACGGTCTAGTCTTACCAGTTATAGGTTGATACGTTCCATCTGAAAATTTGTGATTTTTTTTAAAAAAAGAAAGAAATAAATATTGTCAAACAATGAGCAACATGAAATGAAAGAAAAAAGATAAAATGCCATAAGACTGTTTGTGACATGTTTTACAAATATTAAAAACAACAGCAAAATTACAAACAGTTTTTACAAGAAACCACCCCAAAAAAAAAAAAATCAAAAAAAAATCAGGTCTAGGATTAATTAGATGTTTCCACCCTTCTCAAAAACAACTTTTGAAAAAGCCTCTAGTGTATGCAATACAATCATTTCAAACATCTGAAATAGCCCCCAAGAACCCTCTTCTTCCAACCAAACCAAAATTTAACTTTGAAGAAATAAAATTGATAAAAAGAAATCTTTTGACATGAATCAAAATCCATTACCGAAAATTTGCTTAGAAATTACAAACATACAAAGAATCCGATTTAAATCAAATCTTCGTGACATTTTGTTTAAATCTAAAGTTTTGATATTCTACCATAATGACAGTCCTCCATCAAAGATCAACATGTTTGAAGAGGGTCTGTTGGGGTAAATTAATGCCCCAGGGTAATATTGACTCTCAAACCAGCTTTATAATGTTGTAACAGTATCCTATTGAACCCCCATCTGGACATAGCGTAACACCTGAAATTACCTTTGAACGGTAGCTTCGTGGCAATATATACGTAACCGAAGGGGATTTAGACTAGAGTTTCTACTTCAAAGGAGTTAATACAATTGTTTAGCGTTTTATATTGATATCAGACAAACTTATCTTTGAGATGGGAGGAGATTACTGGAAGATGGACTTAACAGTGACTGATTGGCTTTGGCCTACCAATGTAATTATTTTCCTGCCTTCATTAGCCCAGTTGCAGCAGAACAGTTGGACATTAAACCCCATTTCATTTCATAATAACTTAACCAAAATAAATAAAACTCTTTGGGTTGATAGAGGGTCAACAAAAATTTCAATTTAAAAAAAAAGAAGAGCGAAACTCTAATCTAATATTAAAAAGATTGCGTATTATATTTGGGTCGCTCCAGATCAAATTAAATAAAATAAAAAAAATTTGAAAAGTATGTGTTGTAAAATCATCTGAAACTAAATATATAAAGAAAAATAAAATTCACACACAACATACAAGATAAGTATTAGTTTATAACACCACGCTCTCAGAAATCAGCAACCTTTGTATCTCAGAAATCATGATTAATTTTAAACATTCAAATTTGTCAAATATTCTTTGCTTACATATTCACTAAACTTCAAATAATTAAGTCTCTGCTTTAGAAGAGACTTTTCAAAGTATTTGTAAAATAATTAGTTCCTGTTAACGGCATTTTTCTGAGCATTTAGAATATTCAGCATTTGTCTCAAGAAAGTAGTTATAGTGTCTACTAAAGACATAGTTACTTAAACATTGGATACATTTCTTTAATTACTGACAACTTTCAAGGAGACAGTTTTCAAATGGATCAAGAATTATTATCGCTACTGACATCTTTCATATAGCCTAAAATCACAAATACAATTTTCAAGTATCAAGAATCATCATCCTAAAAATTATATTTATTGTGATCTGGTTGGTCTCATCAATTTATTGATTAAGATTTGGGAAAATATTTAAAATCAACCTACCTCCTTTAGAAGTTTTAAAGATTTTTCCACGAGACTCTGATGCCCCGAGTTGATTAACTGCAGTAACTTCAACCTGATAGAATGTGTTTGGTACAAGTCCTGTTATTTTATAACTTGTCACATCTCTAGGGGCGTTTCTATTTTCCGGATCATACATTCGAACAACTTCCCAGCTATTCTCATCTTCACCTTTCACTTCCACCTGATCAAAACAAAATCAAATATCAACACACCATGAAATATTTCACATCAGCATCAGAGAGAGAGAGAGAGAGAGAGAGAGAGAGAGAGAGAGAGAGAGTAATGGGGTTTAAGGTCCATTCAACACAGATGAGGTCATTTCGGGACTAACACATGGTTCAATTTTATTTCCATAAATCACTTGTCATTTTCAGCAAATTGCCTTTACATTATCTAGTTTTTAACTATTATAGTGAGAACTGCCAACTCGTTATCGAATCTCCCATCATGTATCTTTAAGATTTACTGTCTCCATAGGGTGTTAATACATACCTTTCTATAAACAATCTTGTAACCAGTGAGAGGTTTACCACCAGTTAATGGTTTCTCCCAACTAACCATGTACGAATCACCATTATCTCCATATCCCTTAGAGTTGAAGGTCACAGGGTCGGGTTTACCTGTTATAGAAACAAATAAATCATATGAATTTGTTTGATTTTTGGGGTTTTTTTTAAAATTTATTAATACTGGTACTACAAAACTTTTATAGCACATGTGAACTGGACTACAATTCAACATCAATTTATCAAAACTTTTGTGTGTCTAATTGTGACCAGACAACATTCCAGACTAACATGGCAAACGCCAATACAGTAGAATCTGAATTAAGCAGTCAATCAAGGAAATTTTCATGACTGACCACTTAACAGGGGTTACCTCTTAATAAAATCTCAGTGTTTGTTAGCGCTGACATCAATTAAATTTTACGCTTGGCTGCATTGGGAGCAAACTTCAATATTTGCATCGGCAATTAAACTTGCTTGGAATGAAAATTCTTGGGACTCAAATCTCTGATATAACTTCAGTAAACGTGTCATTTTGTACCAACAATGATACTACTGTCTACCACTGTGATGTGTTCGATAATATCTATCCATTTTTGTGAAGAAAATCCTTGAATTAATTTTATTTTATCAAAAAAGTACATGTCCAAAAAACCATCACTAAATTTGTCACCGTTTTTTTGGGGGGTGTAACTCTGTAATACAGGAGGCGTTAAAACTTATTTAGCAACAAAGTGGCAAAGGAAAATAGATACTTTATTCAATCAGTATCAAATAATGTTTCATTACATATGAAAACAATGACCAGGGTTTATTGTTATTTTCACAGTTCTTTTTACCAGATGTGTGGGTGGCCAGATAATAAGCTATTAATCACAGGATTAGCAGAGGTGCTACGGAGAAGGACAAGATGGCATCATTCAACAATGGCTGTTACAGCGCTATTTTTCTAAATTTATTAGCAAAATAGTGACCGCTGGCCGCGTTAGGAGTGGCCTTTGATTACAGAGATGAAACAATAGAATTTCTAGGGGGGGGGGGGGGGAATTTATTGAGTGTGACTGCTTACAAGGAGATGTCGCTGTATAGGAGTGGCTGCTCGTACAGATTCTACTATACTATTATATTACTTATATTACTATACTTACGAACTTTAGGTGTTTGATCTGTCATAGTTTGAGGCTGTCCGTACCCAACTGCGTTTCTAGCACGCACTGTTACCATATAAACACTATCAGCCATTAAATCTGTTAATCTAGCTTTCGTTCTCTGATCCTGGGCATCTTGACCCGCTACAAATAAACAATCAAACAGTATCAATAAATGAACAAAGTTATCGTGGGACTAATAAACAGACCTCTTAATGACAAATATTCAAAAAATTTTGATGTTTAAATCAAAACCCAAATCAATAGCTAAATATTTGACAGCCAATTTTATTGTCTGAGTTATACAGACTGATTGCTTTTTTAATGCTTTATCAATCTGATTAAACCCATAGATACTATTTAGCTTATAGTTCAAAATTTCATTTTACTTGTCTTGACTACACTAGGATCTGGAAGAGTTGTTATATAACCCGCGTTCTGGTTGAAGTGAGGGATTAGCCTTACGAGTTCTTGGCGTGCGATGCACGGAAGTGTGGGTAAACCACTAGACATGTCAATGCTGACAGATTAATCAATGTCTGATATCATAGGGTCAAACGCCGCGTCTTACCCACTTAGCCACTGTGGCTCCTAGCCCTTGATGATTTGCTTATGTCTTTGAGTGTATGTAGTAACACGATTTGAGTTATATGACGGACTCATAACAATATCAACAGTTTACTTACGTCGTTGAGCGTAGGTAGTTTTAATGTCGGTGCTGCCTTGTAGATTATATTCTATCTTATAGTCAATAACGGGTTGTCCACCATCGTTACTGGGCGGGGTGATCAATACTTCGATAGATGTTGGTGTCGTTTTATCGGTAGACAGTAATACTGTACCAGGGGTTACTATAAAAATAGAAATAAAACATTTTGGTATTTTCAAATATATAATACTGTGTGTGCTTCTTATAAAATTATACATTTTGGTATTTTTAAATATATAATATTGTTTGTGCTACTTATAAAAATTATACATTTTGGTATTTTTAAATAGAAGAAGCTTGAATTTATTCTAAATTATTCCAGTTATTTCCCTTCTGAGGAAGTATGCTACAACTACCATTTGCAGCTCACCAAGTCATGAAGTCAAAATTTGCAGCTCACTACATGCAGCTGGTTTGTAGCTGACCAAGTTTCTAAGTGATGATTTGTAGTCCACCAAGTTATGAAGTCATGGTTCGGAGCTCACCAAGTCATGGTTCGTAGCTCACTGTGTCATGAAGTCATGGTTTGGAGATCACAAAGTCATAGTTTGAAGCTCACTGTGTCATGAAGCCATGGTTCGTAGCTCACTGTGTCATGAAGTCATGGTTTGGAGATCACAAAGTCATAGTTTGAAGCTCACTATGTCATGAAGTCACAGTTTTGAGGTAATAATCTTACCTGCTTTAGCCAGAGAGATAACTTGTGTTGACGCACCACGACCATTTTTAGCAGTGCACAGAAAATCTCCATAAATCCAATCCTCGTTTTCATTCTCAACAGAAACCTGGAAATATACCGGTATAAGAAAATTCAAACACAAGTACTTGAAATATTTATTTCATTTAACAGTTAATTTCTGTTTAAATGTCACAAGGCAAGGGAAGTGTCAAAAATGTGCTGCTTGGTAACTTTGGAGAGAATTTAACCATCCTGGGATAGTGTAGTTTGTGGGTGATTTTGTCATTGAAGAATTCATTTAAATAAACTGGGCGATATCTGGGCGATATCTCGGTATATTCGGTTTTTTTTATATATTTTTCCTGAAGACAGTATTTTTTTTTTTGACAGCTTTTATTTCTGTGACGTTTTTATATCAAAAAACAGACATATCGCCCAGCTCTAACCTGGTGTGGCAGAGAGAGGGAAAGGCTGTCATTTTGGGACTAACATATGGTTCAATTTTATTTCGATTATCCGCTTGCCTGTAGGGGTCTTTAGCAGTGGGAGGAAACCGGAGGACCAAGAGAAAGCCCACGAGGTTGGACAGGCGACCTTACTCCTTGTCATGAACAACCAAGGAATCGAACCCACGTCAGTTAACCTTTAATAATGGTGATTGTTTATTACTGGATATAAACAAATATTATTTTGGTAGTCAACCAATTTAAGAATTAAGAGTTTTCAAAAGTTGTATTTGACAAATATGGAAGTTTGTAAATAAAATGAGGTTTAACGTCCTACTGTTCTGATCTGACTGGGCTAATGAAAGACTTGATATGGCTGTTTTCAACCCCACAGAAAGACTGGACGTGGTTGTTTTTTACCCCAAGAAAAGACTGGACATGGTTGATTTTAACCTAACGGAAAGACTGGACATGGTTGATTTTAACCCCATTGAAAGACTTGACATGGTTGTTTTTAACCCAACGGAAAGACTGGACATGGTTGATTTTAACCCCATGGAAAGACTGGACATGGTTGATTTTTACCCCATGGAAAGACTGGACATCGTTGTTTTTTACCCCATGTAAAGACTGGACATCGCTGTTTTTTTACCCCAAGAAAAGACTGGACATGGTTGATTTTAACCCAATGGAAAGACTGGACATGGTTGATTTTAACCCCATGGAAAGACTGGACATGGTTGATTTTAACCCCATGGAAAGACTGGACATGGTTGATTTTAACCCCATGGAAAGACTGGACATGGTTGATTTTAACCCCATGGAAAGACTGGACATCGTTTTTTACCCTATGGAAAGACTGGACATGGTTGTTTTTTTACCACAAGAAAAGACTGGATGTGGTTGATTTTAACACCATGTTAAAAGACTGGACGTGGTTGTGGGTTTTTTTTGTTAATACTTCTAACTTACCATTAAATAACTAGCTACATATCCTTTGCCTAACTTGGACGATATTGTGTATGTTGCATTGTTTTCGGCGATAACTTCATCATTACGGCTCCATTCGATATAGGCTTGTGGTTCACCATTAGCTAAACATGTTACGTTAGTCTTGTGTGAGGCCCAGCCGTAGGTCTTGGTGTACGGCGTATTATCGAAGTTGGGTTTGACTGAAAACATAACAGATATTTCTAAAGTAAAAACATAGGTTGCCAGGCAATTAAAGATACAGCCACAGCAGTTGACAATGGGCATCCTCGCTAGAGATAAAAGTGCATAGTTTATAGGTGACACCCCAAGGAGACGGTCCCACGTGACCTCATTGTTTACCTTACAGCATTGTTCTCCTGTACATCCATTACGAACTGGTGAGCTGACAAACGTTATTTTATGTCGTTAATATGGAATTGAATCCCGATACTCCGAAATACGGTTCTCTTACCATAGGTCATGTGTAAATGAGTTCATACCAACGACACTTGGTGGGAATCAATTCATCGAGGACGCCAATTGCATCTAGCAACATATTTATGGTACACATAAGTTGACATAAACAGATGTTTAAAAAGCACCCTCAACAGTAGCATAAAAAACAGATGTTTTTTTACTACTGTTGAACAGGATTTTTAAATATCTATTATGTCTACTCTCTTTGCCGACCGGCATCCTAATTTGATCCAGCAGCTTTAATAGAGGGCTGCCACCCGAAAACACGTCCTGGAATAAATACTTTTAGACCATCTACACAGTCTTGTCAGTGTGTTGCTGCTGGCATCGTTTGTTCCAGTAGCTTTGATCAGAACATTTCTGGTTAAAAGACCTGCTATCAAATGATAAACTTACGAAGTTGACTAAATCACCTCCGAAACGTGTCCTGGAATAAATACTTTTAGACCATTGACACAGTCTTGTCAGTGTGTTGCTAGGGGATTTTATTTTAGTTTCAATTATTTAACTACTTACATTCTACAGTAAGTGTTGCATTCTCCATGGCAGTACCAGCTGTGTTGATAGCAGTACAAATATATGCGCCGGTATCACTGGGTTTCAGAGACGTAAACACGTATTTAGATGTGACTCTCTTATTACCAGACGGTAGTTCTTCAACAGTTGATTCTGCTACAGCATTCTGGGTGAGCTGGAAAAACAAGTCTACTGTTAACCATAATGTTTGGATAGTGGCTAGAAAGAGCCACTGGAAAGCTTGTGCATGAGAAAAAAGAGAGAATGGGGTTTAACGTCCACTCGACAAAAACTAGGTCATTTTGGGACTAACACATGGTTCAATTTTATTTCAATAATACACTTGTGCGTAGGGGTATTTGGCAGTGGGAGGAAACCAGAAGACCCAGAGAAAACCCACAAGGTTGGACAGGCGACCCTACTGCATGTACAAACGGGGAATCAAAACAACGCCAGTTGACTCAATGACAGACCTTATGATACAGCGCTAACCATTTGGCCATCCAACCCCCCTTGCCCATGTGAAACTTCAGAGAATGGATAAAAAGCTTGTCCTATGTCCCGATTCGGAACTTGCTACCGAATCCAGATAGCTTCCTATGTACAACCAGGTGAAGTTGTGGACGGGAGGGGCAGTGACTTAAGCCTAGAAAAGCGGGCAGGGAGACTGGGCTAAAGACCAGTCATTTTTTTGGGGGAAAATTTATGTTGGCGTCTTTTAATGTCAAAATAGGACGCGTTGATGTCATCTGACATCATGGAGTTGATTTTTGATATTTCTGACATGAATGAGACAGGTTTCTGTTGGCAATACATTTATAAGGCCCGAAAGTTCCAGAAAATGATCCGACAATCAATGGTACCAAGAAACCTTGTTGCAATTTGTTTACGGTTCCCCTAAATTTACTGTAGATTGCCTGGACTATATTAGGGTCACAACTCATGAAAATGAAAGTGTTCACAAGAATCAACAAAAGTAAAACAGGAAGCAAAAATGTGGAAGTGACCAGGCTTCGATGTTCGATGGACGCAATGGCAACATAAAATTCACTAACTGTTGAATCTACAGCAAATTTGGAATCTGTGCTAAATTTTTTCCATGTCACATCTGGTGCTGGATTGCCTTCAGCGACACATGTCAACTCTGCCTGGGTATCCATTAAACCAGATGCATCTTTGACACTCTGGATTTTTGAGGGAACTGAAAATAAACAGAAAACATAACATGGTCATTGCGGGACTAACACAAGAAATATCTGTCTTGAATATCTTTACCTATCTGATGGAAGGGCAATTGAGAGAGAGAGAAATGGGGTTTAATGTCCACTCGATACAAATTAGGTCATTTTGGGACTAACATATGGTTCAATTTTATTTCAATAATTCGTTTGTGCGTACGGGTCTTTAACAGTGGGAGGAAACCGGAGGACCCGGAGAAAACCCATGAGGTTGGACAGGCAACCCTACTTCTTGTCATGTACAACCGGGGAATCGAAACCATGCCAGTTGACTCAATGACAGACTTTACAGCGCGCACATGCTAACCATTTGGCCATGCAACCCCCCAAAGTGCAATTGAGGCACAGCATTTGATTATCTTGAGCTCTGTCACGACATTTCATTAAATTTGAATTCTTACTGATAAAAAGGGGAGTGAGAGAGAGAGAGAGAGAGAGGGGGGGGGGGTAAAATCCACTCTATGCAAACCAGGCCAGTTCGTGACTGACAAATGGTTCAGTTTTATTTTATTTGTCTTGAGCAGTGGGAGGAAACTGGGGGACAAGCGCCCCCTGTTCCATGTTACGTACAAGCGGGGAAACAAACCGGAGACAGGCTAGGAAAGGAAACAATGCCACCGGACGCAATGACAGACCTTATAATCATACATATGCATAAGACTATACAACCACCGAATACGCTGTATATAAATATCTATTCAACATACTTGTAATTAAATAATTTTCATTTCTTTTAACCCCATTATATGTGACATGCTTCCACGAAACAAGGGCACAAAAGCATAAACTGTATGCCTTCTTGTTGCCGTGAATGAGCTTAAAGCTCAACTCCAGATGATATGACAAATTTAAAACAAATTGTATTTTTGGAAAGCTTAGGCAGTGGACTATTCAAATATGTTGCCAGCTCTATTTTTATAAAAATGACCAAAAGCCTGGTTTTGTGGGAGCAACTCACATATTATTTCTGATACTGAACTTACTTTTGACGACAATATCCAACGTCTGTTGTTTTTGTCCACCGGTTGTTGTTCCTCGAACACCTTCAGCCTCGTTACTCGCCACACATTTATACTTTCCAGAATCAGTCTCTTCCATCAGCTCGGCTTCCATTTTACCGTTTGTTTTATCAACTTTAAACTTAGGCATATCCAGTGGGTTGGGATTATCATCCTGAAACAATACAAACAAAATATTGTATTAAAACCGGAGAGAGAGCAAGAGTCCAACTGTCCAGGATTCTTTTGATTTTGATACTGTTCCTGCAAGAACTCCCCTCACCCCCGACCAGGGAGATACCATGATAAAAAAATCTTGAGGGACTTTATCCCAACAGTGGGATAGAACAATAAAGCCTCTGGTTAATGAGCTAGTGCCTTACGCACAGAGCCACCGGGACCTTAGCTAGTGCCTTACTAATCGCCCAGGATCTCAGTTAGCTAGTGCCTTATGCACTGAGATATCGGCACCTCAGTTAGCTAGTGCCTTACGCACTGAGACATCGGCACCTCAGTTAGTTAGTGCCTTACGCACTGAGACATCGGCACCTCAGTTAGCTAGTGGCTTACGCACTGAGACATCGGCACCTCAGTTGGCTAGTGCCTTACGCACTGAAATGCTGAGACCTCAGTTAGCTAGTGCCTTACGCACTGAGAAACCGGCACCTCAATTAGCTAGTGTCTTACACACTGATCCACAAGGACCACAGTTAGCTAGTGCCTTACTCACTGATCCACCAGGACCTCAGTTAGCTAGTGCCTTACTAATCGCCCAGGACCTCAGCTAGTGCCTTACTCACTGATCCACCAGGACCTCAATTAGCTAGTGCCTTACTAATCGCCCAGGATCTCAGTTAGCTAGTGCCTTACACACTGAGACACCGGCACCTCAGTTAGCTAGTGCCTTATTTATCGAGCCACAGGGACCTCAGTTAGCTAGTGCCTTACGCACTGAGCCACTGGGACCTCAAATAGTGCCTTACGCACTGAGCCACAGGGACCTCCGTTAGCTAGTCGCATAATCACTGAGTCACTTGCGAAATATGATCTATCATACCTTTTGTTATAGCCACATGTTACAGACACTGTTCATAACGTAACTAGGGTCAACCTTCCTCCATGTGGTCACACTGGAAGTGCGGGTCTATCTGTCAAATCAACTTCCATTTCTGTTGTTTCCGATAGACCCCATTAATAAGCCTGTTCAAGTATTTCACAATAACAACAGGAAGCACATTTCATCGTCCCTTCCAAACCACTAGATGCTGTGCAGGCAAAGAAATAAATATACAAACCTTGAAGAACGTGAAGACTGGTGGAGGATTACCAGAAGCGTAACAACTCATTTCAAATCTTTTACCAACAATAGCATCTGTTGATGTAGCTGGTCGATCAAATTTAGGTGGAACTATTGAAAAAATAAAATAAACACAAATTACCTTGTAACCATGGTGTTTCAAATTCACAACCTGATTAGAGGTCGCCATTTTTTAAAAATACCATATTATTATAATTGTTAAATTTCTTGACATTCTAATTTATGTTGTTAATTGCCTTTCTTGACTATTAGAAACTTACTTGTGACTATTTTATTAGAAACTTACTTGTGACTATTCTAATAGAAACTTGTGACTATTTTATTTGAAACTTACTTGTGACTTGTACTGTAATATTATATTGTCTAAAATCACCCATTTCACCAACATTAATCAAACAATAATATATTCCGTTATCCTCTTCTGATATATTCTTTATGATCAAACCTTCCTTCTGTTGAACGAAACGACCTCCTGTAATATAAAACATGGCATTATTTATCATTATTTTAAAGAGAGAGAGAAATGGGGTTTAACTTCCACTTGACACAAAACTAAACATTTCGGAACTAACATGGTTCAATTTTACTTGTACATAGGTAGGGGTCTTTCGCAGTGTGAGGAAACCGGATGACACAGAGAAAACAAATGAGGTTGGACAGGCCACCCCACTCCTTGTCACGTACAAGTGGGGAAACCACACCATTAGACGCAATGACAGACTTTACTAAGCAACAAGCCCCCATGCTACCACTAGCACTGAAACCACCTAAGCCATGTGACTAACTGTGAACAATTTAAGTGAAATGAATTGAAAAGGGGTTTAAAATCCTTACTGTTCTGCTCTAATGAAGAATAACATACATGTATGCCAAAGAGAGTGCTATGAGGGAAATTTTGCCCAGGCAGTGGCACTACGCTTATATCAAATTCTAACTGCCAAGCGATCTTTTACATGCCCGCCAATGTGTACACAGGAACTCGTTTTTTTTCATAATATTCGAACGACTAGACAGCGGTCCTTGTCAGGCCCTCCGTCTTGCACCACTGACAAAGGGGGAACCACGCCGGGAAATCCTGATGAACTTTCTCAGCCAACACCAAGATCGAACCCGCGACCTCCAGAGTAGCGAGCCAACTTCTTACTCACTTAGAAATGAAATGAGGTTTAACGTCCTACTGTTCTGCTCCTATACTGGGCTAATGAAGGCGGGCATACACCATACAGTGTGCTATGAGGGAAATTTTGCCCGGGCAGTGGCACTATCACCTACTCTTATATCGAATTCCAACTGCCAAGGGATCTTTTACGTGCATTCCAATGTATACACAGGACCTCGGTTTTTCGCATCATCCGAAGGACTAGACAGTTGTCCTTGTCAGGCCCTCCGTCCTGCATCACTGACAAGGGGGAACCACGCCGGGAAATCTGGATGAACTTTCTCGGCCAATGCAGGGATCGAACACCGGACCTTCAGGCTAGCGATCCAGTGTCTTACCCACGTGATCCCCCCTTACTCACTTAGCCACCGTGCCTACCCCATTTCATTTCAGATAGTTCCGTTAGTGGATTCGTATCATACTAACCTGACGGAATGGGATCTTCATTAGCAAATGTCCAATGAACAGTGGGTACAGGATTAGCATCAGCATCACATTCAATAAAGGCATCAGTATTAACATTTGGTCGTTGGAGATGCGGAGATCCCTTTATGGTTATTCCCCCTAGAAACAAAAACAAAATACGTAATTAACCATTTTTACATTTAACGGACAACACAAATTTTTATTCATCTAACTCAAAGATAACCATATATTTCAGACATCAATTGACCCACAGACATCAATTGACCAGCATTAAGCAGTGCCAAAATCCCATGCCGGATTATACAAGGAGTAGTGTTGCCTGTCCAACCATTTTGAGGTTCCTCCCGGTTTCCTCCTACAGTTGAAGACCCCAACATGCAAGCAAATTATTGAAATATAATTCAACCATTTTAGTCCCAATATGACCTAGTTTGTGTTCAGTGGACTCTCTCTCGCCCCCCCCCCCCCCCCGAATTTCTAGTCTATTCCAGAGCCCTACCACCTGTCGATAACTACCCTCCTACATTGTCATGTAGGGTTGGGTAGTAGCACAGATATAAAAGGATAACGTGTATTTCAATACTAGAGACTATTTGATCACTGTCTTGGTTGTTTCAGAATATTCAATAGGGGAGAGAGAGAAATGGGGTTTAACGTCCACTCAACACAAACTAGGTCATTTCGGGACTAATATATTTCACTAATTTGCTTGCGCGTATTGGTCTTTAGCAGTGGGAGGAAACCAGAAGACCCAGAGAAAACCCACGAGGTTGGACTGGCGACCCTACTCCTTGTTATGTACAACCGGGGAATCGAAACCACGCCAGTTGATTCAAAGACAGGCCTTATGATACAGTGCACACTTGCTAACCATTCGGCCATCCAACCACCCCTAAATGTTTATTAATTGTTACCATTACAAGTACTTACTATATAATTGTATCTCTATATTTTTTTCTATGGGGTTACCACTAATAGTAGCTTTACAAGTATACTGGCCTTCGTCACCATCAATTAATTTACGGATTAATAATGTTAATTCATTGCTTGAAAATGACATAATTCTCAATCTGAAACAAACAATAAATTATTATTTTTACATGTACATGTATGAAGTCCAATAGGAAAGGTAGGTAATATACATGGATTAAAACATATACTACGTCCAATTCAACAACGTCATTATATACAGTACCCTGTGTGTATGTATGTACAGGTCACAATTCTATGGAATACAATTGCTGTCTATTATTGAGTCGAGCAGCTTCGACTAGAATTTTTTCGTCTTTATCAAGCAATACAATTACTACTTATTACTGAGCGAAGTTTCATCTAGACTTCTTTTGTCTTCATCAAGCCATGTCGATACCTCACTCAGTGATAAGCAACAATTTTAATCCATAGAATCGTGACCTGCATATTCCAGGCCCATGGTTTCACAAAACATTCTCAGACTTAATTTTAGAATTAACTCAAAATTGTTCGCCTTATTTTAGCTAAAATATAGTCCTTTGTAAAACTTTAGTTGTATGAATGGATCAAATACATGTACATCAAGATAATGTAACAATCTAATAATCCTTGTTCACCTAAATTTACGATGGCTGGCAGTTGGGAAGGAATGGCATATTAACATCCACTCGACACAAACTAGGTCATATCAGACAAACCTATGCTACAACTTTTATTTAGTGCAGTGAGAGGAAGCCACAAACTACATGTAGGTCATTTCGGGACTGACATGGTTCAATTTTATTTCAATAAGGAGCCGGAGAAAACTCACAAGGTTGGACAGGCACCCCACTCCTTGTCACGTACCACTGGGGAATCCAAACCATAATAATAATAATGCATAGCTCACCTTCCTGTTTTTGATGTTATCTGTTCACCAGTAGCTGAGAACCACTGTATACTTGGTGTCTCTGATTCCGTTAATCCCTCTACTGTACATTTTAATGACAACCCTTCATCAACTTTTTTTACTAACGTATCTTGTTTAGGTGATATAACTAATTCTTGACACGCTGAAAATATACAACAAACAGACCATTAAAGATACATTATGGGAGAATAGATAAAGAGTTGACAGTTCTCACTATAATAGTTAAAAACTAGATAATGTAAAGGCAATTTACTGAAAATTTCATTCAAATTGATCCACTATGAACCGAGATTTAAGCGATTGAAATTTCCGCCTAGTCTCGATCATCATTACTAAAGTCAGTATGATAAACAGCATACATGTAGTTTCGATTATCCATTTAATCATTAAATCGTGAAGGAAAGTTATGCAGTAAATCTGCTCATAATCCACTAAAGAACGCAGGCTAGTGATGCCATCCAGAGTTGATTATGTTCTGAATACATTAATTAATAGTGTATACATGTATAACATTTCAGGCCTAAAGAAAGACCTGCAATAGACAGATTTAGCTCTTGCATAATGTATGTTTAAATAAAACACATAAAATAAAACACATAGATCCATTGAATATACAACACACCCATCCATTTAATACAACTATACAAACAGACTGGGGAGCAATGGTGGCCAAGTGGATAAGGAGCTGGCTCGCTAGCCTAGAGGTTGCGTCTTCGATCCATGCATTGGGCGAGAAAGTTCATCATGTACAACCGGGTAATCAAAACCACGCAAGTTTACTAAATGAAAGACTTTACAGCGCGCACATGCTAACCATTCGGGCAGGGGTCACGGTGGCTAAGTGGGTAAGGAGCTGGCTCGCTAGCCTAGAGGTTGCGTGTTCGATCCATGCATTGGCCGAGAAAGTTCATCATGTACAACTGGGTAATCAAACCACGCAAGTTTACTAAATGAAAGACTTTACAGCGCGCACATGCTAACCATTTGGGCAGGGGTCACGGTGGCTAAGTGGGTAAGGAGCTGGCTCGCTAGCCTAGAAGTTGCGTCTTCAATCCATGCATTGGCCGAGAAAGTTCATCATGTACAACCAGGTAATCAAAACCACGCAAGTTTACTAAATGAAAGACTTTACAGCGCGCACATTCAGGCAGGGGTCACGGTGGCTAAGTGGGTAAGGAGCTGGCTAGCTAGCCTGGAGGTCGGGTGTTCGATCCCTGCATTGGTCCGAGAAAGTTCATCAGGATTTTCCTACGTAGTTTCCCCTTGTCAGTGGTGCAGGACGAAGGGCCTGACAAGGACAGCTGTCTAGTCGTTTGGATGGGACAAAAAGCTGAGGTTCCGTATATACATTGGCCAGCACGTAAAAGATCCCTTCACAAGCAGACAGTTTAAAAATACTCCTATGTAATAGTCAGACAAACTAAATTGGAAAACAATCTTTGTTCAGCGGCAATATGAAAACTTTATGACTTTGATCAGTAATTATAATATAATGTCCAAATTAGATAATTTCAATGCAATAAAATCAAAAACCATAAAAACATAAACAAAATTTGAAAATCTTTGTCCTGTTCTGTTCATAATGCCCAAATTAGACAATTCGGTCAAATCAAATACATTTATTTTATCAAATAGTCTCATGTTCCTAATATATATTCCCATCGCTATATTTTACGCAGCTTATTTTTATGTCAGTGTTTGTGTCTATCTAATATGGCAGAGGGAACCAATGTTTATCAATGATAGAAATTTACTATGAAATATTAAGGGGAGGCGACTCTGCCATCACTGTACGGTAGACGACCAACAAGTAGACTAAAATTAAATCAATTTAATGATTTTGTTTGTCCTTGGTTTTGTAATTCTATCAATATAAATATTTACTCGAGAGACTAGTATTGATATTATATTTATCTACAGGTAAATAGTCTCTTGACTTTATGTTTAATGTGTCTGGAAGTATAATAATATAATGATTTCATACAATCAAAATGTTTTCATGGTATTCTATCAATAAATATAACAAATAATGACCATAGAAAAGGTTCCGTATTTCTATTAAATGCTTTTATTTTTTTGTCAAGTTAATGATCATTTTGACGGCCATTTTGTTCTAGTAAATGCTATTATTTTTTTGTCAAGTTAATGATTATTCTGACGACCATTTTGTTCTGAATTTTTAGTAATGCTTTTATTTTTTTGTCAAGTTAATGATCCTTTTATGGCCATTTTGTTCTGTATTTTTAGTAATGCTTTTATTTTTTTGTCGAGTTATTAGTTTCACGACCTTTGTCATATAGTGATGTAGCAACAGATATTCAATTTGCTAAGAAATGAAATGGGGTTTCAGAACCAATTGGACTAAATAAGATGGGAGCAATGTGCTATGAGGAACATTTTGCCTGGACAGCTGCATTTCTGTCAACCAGCAGATCTTGTGGATTTTTTGTGTCCCATTCAAATGATGTTTTCCATGCTAGCATTGCCAGTTCCTCTGCCCTACCCCACGGCTAAATCTATTTGTCTGTGACCATTGACCAAACTTGAAATTGGCCTATCATAGACCTAACCCTACACCACTGGTATTGGAGAAACCTGGACGGAAAATGATGAGGATCGAACCAGACACTTCCTGGTAACAAAAGTCACGAGCCACTGATAAAACAGACGAATAGCATAAACATGACCGAATATAACCTGTGTTTTTACTGGTTAGTTACAAATATTGATTTCAAACCTCCAGACACATTAAATAGGTTTTATTGGTATTTTTATTCTCGTCACATGTATAAATGGGTTTATTGGTATTTTTTATAATTAGTCACACGTATATATACTGAACTAAATCGCATAATAATAATGTGTATACCACACAGCTGTTTAATTCAAATATTCAGACCTAGTCAAGCTCACCAATAATGAATGATGAGGACGTTAAAGGCCTGACTTAACAAAATACTTCAGTTTAATTTCAGTTTGTAAATTTTTCTAGGAAATGACATTAAATGCTTGACTCAACATAAGGATGTAATTCATTTTCAACTTGCAATGAAAGGGAGTTTATTGTCCTACTGTTCAACACCAACCTCGCTAATGAAGACGGGTATCTAAACTGTATGACAACTCCGGAACACATATCTATTGACGATTTTGTAATCAAATCAGGGATCACGGTGGCTTGGTTTGGTATGACGCTTGGTCGAGAGTTCGATCCCTGCATTGGCCAAGAAAGATCATCCAGATTTTCCAGCGTGGTTTCCTCCTTGTCAGTGATGCAGGACGGAGGGCCTGACAAAGACAGCTGTCTAGTCTTTCGAATGGGACGAAAAACAAAGGTCCCGTGTACACATTGGCGTGCACGTAAAAGATCCCTTGACAGTTGGAATTCGATATAAGAGTAAGCCATAGTGCCGCTGTCCGGGCAAAATTTCCATCATAGCACACTGTATGGCGTATGCCCGTCTTCGTTAGCCCAGTATAGGAGCAGAACAGTAGGACGTTAAACCCAATTTCATTTGTAATCTAATCAATGTCTACTACAAAATCTTATAAAAGCACTTAGACCAAATTTCAAAACTTGAGCCCAAAGGAGTAAGAAAATGTGGACAAATATTCGTCCACGATTCAATATTAAAATAACCAACATTTATATATCATTTATGTATGGTATCATTTTCTGTCCGCAATGTCATTTAACCCACCAACACTTACAATATGTATACCCGGTTGAGAGATTGAGAGTTATCCATGTTTTATTCGTTTGGATGTAAGGGATGAAAATTTAGGACAGTCCGTGAAGGTTATTCTATGTAAATGAACAAGATTAAAAGAATAAATAAAACTATAGGACGACAGGTTTGTCTAATGTTTTTGATGAACTGTGACCTTATGTGACCTAAAATGACCTTTTTGATGGGAGATTAATATATCAGTATGACTAGATAGTATTTAATCCTTGAATCGTTAAAAGATTGGTGTATAAGCAGGTCCATAAACCCTGGATCATACCAGTTTGGACTATTCTGGTTGATATAACCATTTACATGTATTTTATACAATAGTCTTGTCGACCAAGGGGCCTGTTTCACGAAATTTAAACTAAGATAAAATCCAAATTTTAGTAATTTGATTGGATAATATTAGATTGATTTTAGTGCTTAGCCAATCAAAATTGAAGTATCTACTAAAATCTGGATGTTATCTTTAGTTAAGATTTCGAGAAACTGGGCCCAGGTACATAAACCCTGGATGATACCACTATGGATTATTCTGATTGATATTATATTTTATATACAACAGTCTTGTAGACCAGACAGTCATCTTATAATACATGTATAGTCGAGGGACTATCTCTACATACAAAAATACAATCTGACAAAATCTGAATTTGTGCCCGACATTATCATTTACAGGCTTGAATAGAAGGATATCATTATTAAGGAGTCCAAAAATCTTTACAAATCTTCAAAGAGAGAGAGAGAGAGAGAGAGAGAGAAATGGGGTTTAATGTCCACTCGACACAAACTAGGTCATTTCGGGACTAACACAACGTTCAACTTTATTTCAAAAATTTGCTTGCGCGTAGTAGTCTTTAGCAGTGGGAGGAAACCGGAGGACCGGGTGAAAACCCACCAGGTTGGACAGGCGACCCTACTCCTTGTCAACAGGGGAATCGAAACCACGCCAGTTGACTCAATGAGATCTTATAATACAGCACGCACATGCTAACCATTCAGCCATCCAACCCCTAAATTCATCAAAACATCATTGTAACAAATATTGGTATGTACATATATTATCAATGTAATTGACCATACATGTAGCTTAACAACAAGTAAATATACATGTATATGTATACTACTCTATGGATATGGCTGCCATTCAGAGTATACACTGCATAAAAAAATAGAAATCTTCAAAACACATGGTGCTTATAGATAACTTAACATATCATAAATCATAGAAATCTTCAAAGCTCAAAACATTGTGTCAAATATTGGTATACACATAATAGATCAATATACATTCTAACATTTAATGAAATGAAATAAAATAAAATGGGGTTTATTAACGTCCTACTCCGACTTAGTCTCTATCATCCAGAAAAATATTCTACAAATATAACTCTGGACAGGTTGTCAA